TCCTAAATAGGACCACAACAATCAGCGTGCAGTAACAGTCTGTAGATGGTTGTCATGACATTTCTTCACAATATTATTAGTTGCCACTGTATGCAAGTATGACAGCCACAATAGGCATTTTTCCAAGCTTTGTATATACCAGCGACGTGCAGTCAGGGGAGGCAGAGCCTCACCTTTCATACTCAAATGTAACGGAAAAACAACTAAAGAAAAACTAAATAGTAATAATAATAAAATGTCTCCACTGATCTGTGTTGTAAGTGTGATTTCTGTATGATTCCAATCGCTTTCTTATAGTCAAAATCAGCAAATTGGCCGAGCTCCGCCACAATTACATGGGAGCGAAGAGGAGTGAGGCAGGGACGAGCTCTGCCTCTCGTAAGCCCACAGTAACTTGCTGGAGCGCGGGCACTAATTTAGCGCGGGCACTTATTTTGTGAGCGCGCTCAAGCCAGTTACTGTGGTGAGGTGAGGCACAGATGAGCTCTGCCTCACCTCAGAATGCGTCACCCCACAGAAACTGGCTGGAAAGCGGGCCCTAAGCGCATGCCTGTTACCATCTCACTGTATGTCACCAATGTAATGTTTGTAGATCCCTTTATTACATTTATCCTCGCCATCCATAGTCTCTAAATAACTTATTTAACGTATATATGATATTTAGGCTCGCTGGTCTCATCATACAACGGCAATGAAAAAAGCAGCCATAACCTCTGCCGCACTGAAGGGGGCGCACGTGAGCCCACAGGTTCTTGTTGACACTGTTATTCTACGCAGAGACGGTAGACGCAAACAACAAACTAGACTTTTGTTTTTAAACTAGAGGGAGATAAGGAGGAATTTTACAAAAATGATTGTTGCCCAGAAGGATAGCATGGACTTCATCTTCAAGTCAAGGTAAGACCACAATTGTAATGAAAATGGGATCTTAGTAAGAAAGAACAATCCAATATTTAGATGTTGGGTATCCTTCTGTTGAACGGTCTGTTTAAAATGAATCGAAGCATCAGACTAAAAAAGCTTTTGAAAATAACCGAATATTTCGATTAAGGTCAAAATATAATATTTGTAAATCAGACTCTGAAAGAGTCAGTGCCTCACCAGCCATGAACCTCACCGCACGTCACTGGTGGGGACCTTTAGCGTACATTTTCAACTAACAGGGAGACCCCTGGTTGGTAATAGACGAGTTGGGATCGCGAAGAAATGCTCTCCGCAGCAGTGGCGGTTCTAGACCAATTTGACTGGGGGGGGCCAGGCTGGGGCCAGTTATTTTCTGAGGGGGGCACAATAAATGCGGGGCGACAAAGACAATATGAAGTAATTGCGCATAAGAAAAAAATGCAATACAGTTATTGGTATTTGTTTCGGTACACATATTTATTTCAGATACTTATAGTTACAGTTTTTACGCTCTAATGCAGGGGTCTCCAACCTTTTTTAGGATGAGAGCTACTTTCAAAAAATAAAACAAGTAGTGAGACCCGTTTTCAGTGTTTACTAAAAGAAAATGTATGCAATTTAATTATTTTAACCTGCTTTATTTTGGGGTGGACCTCACATCCTCTAGGGGGGTCCGGGGGCATGCACAGCATATTTTTAAATGTTGAAGTTAAATGCATCAATCTGGTGCACTTTGAGCACAAAATGAATTTATGGATACAGCTCTCAACACTCATATGAAAGGGAGCTGTATACTTTTCAATAATCCAAACATCTTTAGAATATGATCAAAACCAATAAATCATTTAAACTTGTTTATTCTTATCTTATGTTACCTATAGTTAGGATTATTTATTTTTATTTATACATATTTTACTAATCACTCCCCTTTTTAAACTGTTGCAAGAACGTGATTGGTCGATATTCATTGTGGGGGGAGGAGGGGTGTTGGATAGATATAGAGATGGAATGTTTCGTTTATGCATAGGGTAGATTATTTTAATTACATTTCCTTTTTTTTGTGTGTATTTTTTACAATTTGGATTTGCTTGGCGAGCTACTTATTGAGTGCTTGCGAGCTACCGGTAGCTCGCAATCGACGTGTTGGAGACCCTTGCTCTAATGGGTCTGACTAGAAAGACAAATAGCGTTAGTTATGCCTAATCCGTCAGCCAAAAAAATAGTTTAATCATAAACTTTTCTTTTTTTTTTCATTTTCAGGGGGGCCACTTGGGGTTCCAAAGTCAGTGTTAGGGGGCACTGCCCCCCCTGCCCCCCGGACCTCCCAGAACCGCCCCTGGTGTAGATCACTTTTTGTTCCAGCAATTAGCTTCAATACAACATGAAATGTACGGCATTCTCTTGCTCCTGTCATTAATTATTTCATGAACTTAACTCGATATACAATTGAATGTGTCCTGGGCAAACATATTTCATAAAGATGCTTCTGATTCTGACTGGGTAACCATGTTTTATTTGCAAGTACCTTCTGATGCCTTAAGTGACACATTGCATCTCCTTTATTATAGAAGGAAGTTCCTTTAGCCTCTTAAAAATGTACAGATACAGTGTTATATATATATATATATATATAGGTTAAAGTGTTTGATAATGTGTTATAGCATTCTCTCCTGAGGACTCAACTGAGAATGTATCCGGAAACTTTATAGAGACTGCACAAAAACAATAATCAATGTGTTCGTTCGTGAAACGTGAAAAATAAATACACATAGGATGCAATCAAAGAAGCTACTTTATGCGGTGGAATCCGAAGATGTTCATACGGTTTCTTCTTCCAGTTCGCTGCTTCGTGAGCACTTTCTTGTTTGTTTTACCTTAATCTTACCAGGATTCCTTTGTGTTTCTTTGTCTTCCAGGTGCCACCAGTTCTACAGGCAGCACCCATAACAAGTCCACCTGCTTTCCCTGGCCCCATCATGCTGTCCCCTACGGGGCCTCCAGTCGGAGCTCCATTCATCCCCAAAGAGTTTGATCCTACAAAGTTGGCACCAGGTAAGACATTTATAAGGAACAAAAGTGTGTATTTGCCAACCATCCTCTAAAGGGGGGATGTGAGTGCAGACATGTTTGTTTAAAACAACTTATCTTGATGATTATATGAAAAGATATGTGCTGCAGTGTTGTCATTGTTCCTTGCTTGATGTTACTACTTGAAACGTTTGCTCTCTAATGTGCTTTTCCTTTGTAATGCCACAATACGTGGCTTCCCACTGGGGATCAATTAAACGTTATCTTACTCTCTTTGCAGCAGGAAATGGAAAACCTCCAGAGGAGTCCACCGTGGATTCTAAAGGAGACAAAGGCGAACCCTCAGATCTGGGTGCAGACATCAAGCTGGGGTCCCCTACTGCACCAGTGATGACCTTACCAGGCCCAGGAGTCATGCAGGGGCCCAGACCGGGTATGCCCCCTATGCAGCCTCCTCCTGGGATGCCGAATCATCATCTACCTCCATTCCTCTCACCCCCAAACATGCCACTCATGCCCCCACATATGATGCCTGGAGGACCCATGTTTCCACCGAATAGGTTCAGAATGCATATGCCGTTTCCTCCTCGTGGCCCTCCTTTCCATCGACCTCCGCCTATGGGACCAGAGGGCATGAATGACACTGAGGGGAGGCATTTCCGAAACGGGAGGGCAGGGTTTGGGTGCCCCCCCTTCATCAGAGGGAGGTGGTAGAGGTCGTCTGAATGAAGAACTTAAGGAAAGAGGATGCTGAATCACTGTGAGACACTGTTAAGTATCAGGACATCTGGTTCAACAAGGACTTATGTGAAGATTTGATGGTGCATGAACCTATATTTTACACCAGAAGAACCTTTTCTAAGTGTCAGATTAACAATGAAAAACAGGACACAGTGTTCTGAATGTGGTCCATGCTCACTCAAGTTCACCAGAGAAGGAACTCTTTGTTGTAAATACTGTAAGTGCTTCTAGCTGTTTGATATCTTTTTGTATATTTTAAGTTGTGTAGTTAATGCTCAAGTCTAATCTAAGTAGTTGGAGGTAAAAGGCAAAGTCTGTATTTTTGAGCTAATTCTGATACCAGAGTTTTGTGTATGGAAGGAGTCTGTACAAATCAATAATTCATACCTTTTTGGTATTTTGTTTTTACTAAAAACATGCCTTTGTAACACACTGATGTGTAATTCTTTACCAGAGAAGTTGGATTTCATTTGAAGCAGATGAAGATGTGCAGTCCTGCCAGTAGAGGGTAGAGTTAACCCTATTACCAAGGCCGACCTCTGTTGTACATCTTGTAGGATCATGTGCAGTGAATATAAAAAAAACTGATACTACCATTTGATCGGGTGCTTTTTTGTGTCATTCAAACTTACATGTTTAATCTTTTTTTCAGCATACTGATCTGTGTTGATACATAGACCTGCATAAGATTTGAGTATTGATTTTAAATATCACTTAGGAGCATGCATCTTCTGTGGTACACACACACACACACATACATACTTATCTTGAACTAATAATAAATCATACAGGATAGTGAAAGTTGCAATAAATATCTTAAACATCATCTTATTTTTGTTTTAAAAGTGTTTTCCATTCTTGCCCATGTATTTGCAAATGAAAAAGCATCGGAACAGCTGCACAGGCAGACTGCACCACAGATTTAAATCATGCTTTGGGGTGGAAAGGAGATTAGTTCACTGTTTGCTCATGTTATTCTAAAACTAACACTCTTCAGCTCAGTGGCGTAACAAGGTTGTGATTGGCCCCCATCGCACGGACATCTCTTTCTCTTGTCCTTTCTCTTTTGCTCGCCGCTCTTGTGCTTTGGTTTGCTGTACATTATAAATGAAAGCTATTACATTTTTTTATAATGCTGCCGAACTTGCTGCTGCTAGCTACAGTACATTACAGGACCAGGTTGATTAAACGGTTCGCTCGTCACGCAAGGTATCACATGACATGAAAGGGAGCAAGGTCGTTGGACAGACAAATTAATTTAGGTTGCTTGGTTACTTTGAAGACTGCGTGAACCGGTCAATGCCATTCAGTGTTTCCCACAGAGTTTGATTGACCCCCACGGCAAGAAAAGCCAAAGGCCCCTTAACCTATTCGGGTGGCCCACGTATCCACCCCCTCCCCCCTCCCTCAAATAAGAAAATACATGCAAGTTCATGGCTACTGTAGACAACGTTATTGTTGCTCTGTGTTGCAATGTTAATGAGTGAGACACACCGGAGTTGAGGATCTGTGGGGTTTATTCTCCCAAAAATATAATTTACAATTTAGCAGAGACCTTATTCCAAAGCGACTTACAGTGACCAATTACAGGCACGTTCTCCCTGGAGTAACTGAGGGCTAAGTGCCTTACTCAAGGGCACACTAGTAGTGGTGATCCAGGTGGGATTTGAACTCGCAACCTTCCAATCATCAGCCCACCTCACTATCCATTAGACCGCCACAAATAAATCAATGCATGGGAAACACTGCAATTGGAACACCAATTTATTTTATTTTTTAAAATAAATATAAAAAATAGATTTTTTTTTTTTGGTTGCATGTACCCCTGACCGGCTCTGGGCCCCTGTGCGTTGCACCGGCTGCACCGTCGATAGTACGCCACTGCTTCAGCTACTAGTTTACATTTCACACGGTCAATGAATGCTGATTCGAGGTGAACCGCAGCTGATTGGCTCCTAGAAAAAACAAGTGGCATTCTCACGATCCACTTGCGCGCCGTCTCCAAGGACCGCGGGCCCCGCCCCTCTCAGCGATGTGGAAACACACGCATGGTCCGTGGACTGAGAGGCAGGCAGGCAGACCTTGGAGTTGCGACAGGATACAGAGACATGGGGATGGACAATACTGGCGTGTGAAACATGAACATTTCAATGTCAGGACGGAAGCAGCCAGACGCCGACGGTGGCGGTGACAGCAGGTATGTAAAGGGAGACCGGGAAGCATCATGCTGTGTTAATCATGATAAAGATAATATCCTCGATGACCGTTCATGTTTCCGCGTGGTCCTAGCGCTGGCTCACGAATGACCGCGTCACTCAATCATACAAGTTTATCGGGGCTGACAGACGCTGCCGCACCGGTGCGGACCGGCGGGAAAGGACGACAATATGTGTTTTCCTACCCACAAAGTGTTGTGGATCATTCATTCAGACAACAGGGATTTAGGGGTAAGAAACGCTATGTAGCCTCAATGACGGCGGACATACAGCAGGGTTAACGTGCATCTTCGGACATTTCAATTTCCATCCCTGTAGCTTACATGATTGCTCATCCTGCAGCTAATTGACTAAATGCTTTCCTGAAGCTATATCATGTTGGTTCAACAAGGCATGGAGAAATACAGTCATAAGGACTTGTCCGCTAAAATACCTTGGAGGTGTTTTGGTCATTGGTAGCATACTGTTTGGGAGCAGAGAAGCTGCGTTTGGCCTCAGACAGTGCGGTAAATTGTTGCATGAAGCACAGTCATGTAATCCTTTGCACCTCTCTTCGCTGTGCTAAAGATGATCCAAGCTGTTGCTGTTGTATTTACACTTTGCAGAACAGATCATGTGCAGGTGACTGACATGCGATAGCGCATTTGTGCAGCTGCTTCACTACTATGATAACCCTCTGGTGTCAAGTTTGTTGCAGCGTCACTGCCACTGTCTGCTGCTTAAATGGTGTCTCCCTGAAATATTTATATATGGTTGTGATAAACATCCTTACAGGTAGGTGCACAGGTGACTAAGCAGATGTGGGTGCTGTAACAAAACATATCACTCATGTGCAAAGCTGACTATTAGATATTTAGAGATGTGTCGAGACAATATCTTGGGCAGACTCGCGGTCCTTGTCCATTTTGTTTCTGCCAAGATAAATACAATGTGTCGACAGAAAAACCCTCACCACTGAGAGCTTAAGGTGCAGTTTTTTTTTTTACAATCTGCAGTTTGTATTTATGGTGAGTCTAATAGGACCTGGCTGCTCCATAAACAGGAAATTGTCAATGTATCTTTCAAAGGGGTTTGGACACTAGACACAATGTAATATCATAACTGTTTTATAAAAAAATAACAATGAACGACTACAGAAGATTGTCATTGAAAGTTAAATTTGACCTGTAACAGAGCAGTGGTCTGTTCTAAAATGGTTGTTGTGGCATCATCATAATCCATTTTTTGAGTGTCAAACCACCCACCTGTGTGTTTCTTCACAGAGAGCTGACTTTATTTCATGTCAGTAATGATTCTTTTAGTAGTTTAGTTTATATTGCTAAATGTTTTGCTTCTGAAACTTTTCCCTATACAAAGCTCCTTGGCTCTACCAGAATTAGGCATCCAAACCACAACTTAAATGTCATAATTTATAACATCACCAGATGAATGTACATATTTTGCAGATGCTACTTCTGCATTCAACCAATAAATACATAAAAGTTTGAGGAATGTCACACAAATCTGCCACTTGTGAGAGCTGCAGGAGTGAAAATAAATGAAAAAAAACGTCTTAGATTAAGATTAAATAACATCCAATTAAACCGCAGGCAAAAACACGTGAGAGATCACTTGTTTCCAATACATATGATGTGATTTGATTTTTATGACATGAAAATCTTTGTATTACTTAATCTGGACTATTATGGTGATACCAGTACCTGCATTAACCAGCATGGAACCCAGGAAGAATAACTGATTGGCCTGGTGATCATTTTAAAATATTATAAGATCTAAAAATCAATATTGAATGCATGCTAATTCTCATTTCCTCCATTGATCTGTTTTATTTCCACCAAAATATGTCTGGAAACGTTCATAGTCTGTTTTTTACGATGCTGTAGATTTTGGGTGGATGAATAATTTAACGTTTAAGTTTGATGTTATATTGATACCTTGCTGCTTCAACCTTATAGTAATCCAAGGCACAGGTTAACCTTTCTGTTATAAAGCCATGTGAAGGAAACAGCCATGGTGTGAAGCATCCTGCATCAGGGCTTCAGTGTATGGAGATGTGTCCTCGGGGTAGAAACCTGAGCCCACCTGTATGACATACCTCCATAGAGACCTCACCCTCTGTCTCTCTCTTTGTGTGGTCGAGTTGAAACTAGTTTCTCTCCCCCTCTGGCTTGTGTCCACACTTTTTAACTCTCCATCTCTAACATCTCAAATGTTAGACCAACTTGCAGCAGTGTAGCGACTGTCGTAGCCACACATGAAAGAATGTCTACACATTCATATGGTAATTTGTTGGCTTTTTTTTTACAATCCATGACTTTGTTCTTCATGCGCGTATAGCCATGTACTACCAAACTGTTTATTTCTTGCAATGCGCATAATTTAACCCTGATAAGTGCTCTTTTTGAATTATTCATTACCGTCCCACTTGCACATAACTCTGTATCCCTTTGAAAAGTGGCACAAAGTAAATTCTGAAAACAGTGTAGTGTTTTGCTCAGTGCCAAGTGAAACACAGAGACTGAGACTAGTGTCATAACCAAACAAAGACCATTGAATCCAAGATAAACTCACTACTATGGTACAGTGGTTCTGAATTTCATTAAATCCCTGATTTCATTCAATAACAAAAGTGTATGATGTTTGACTGGTTAGCTATGTTTCTTTGCTAAGTCAAGCCATGTTTTTGACGAAAGTGGAGTGGTGGAAATAGTAAGTACACAAATTAGGCCACAACCGCTAAGCTGGAAATCTTTTCCAGTAGGAAACTTGTGTCGATCCTGTTAGTGGGTGATATTACGTATTACTGTTCTGTGCAGAAGCATTAGTGTCATGCAGAAGTAACTTCAGATGGAAAATGCCTTGTTAATAACCATTATACGGATATTAGGGTTTAATAATATGACCACTCCTCTGCAGGTCACTTCAATGCATACTTCTGGAGTTGTTTAAATATTTGAATAAACTCTGGCAGTGGTGTTTGTCAGTCTGAGTCTTTCATATTTGCTCACACTGAATAGAAGCTTTGTTCAGTGACCGTAGATCTCGTGTTTAGATTTTATTTTTTTGTTAAACTATACATGTATGAACATGACTATATTTTAGTGCCATATTATTAAAAGTTAATTAATGGATCATTTGATCGACAGGAAATGTATACAAACAATTTACATAACATTTGATTATGACAAATGCTGTTTCCCCATTTCTTTGACATTTTATACATGGCATATTGGGTTGAATAACTTAAAAAAGCCATTATTGTGGCACTCAAATATTTACTGGATGTATTTTAAAGCACAGACCCTTCATTGTTAGAGTTGTAAGATTGCAACTTGCATCCCATTTCTTGATGTACCTTCTCCCACACAAATCCTGTAACATTGTGTAACAGTGTTGATGTTGCAGCTGCGAGTGGTCGTCTCCGTCCAGCCTCTCGAGCTGAAAACAGTTTTGCACATGCTGATTGCCAAGTTTGTCTTGTGAGAATTGTCTTCTGCTTCTGCACAGAACAAGCGATTCCTTATACAAAAGTGAGGAAGACTTAATGTTTCGCAAGAAGAGATTTAATCCAATCAATTTTCACGACATGTATATCAGATCAAGCAGTCTTTTGTTCCCTTTCCGCCCACGTTGATGGATGAAGGACAACCGTGCTTTCCTCTCCACCTCTGTTTACATCCATCCCTTGTTGCTCCTGACAGGACATCTATCTCCATTAGAGAGAACTATTGATGTGTTGCTGTATCAGCCTGTCTTCCCCCATCTTTGGACAGTTGAAGAGAGGTTGTACTTATTTTAGCCTCAAGTTTTGTTTTGTTTCCGGGCCATGTGCAGCTAACCAGCTGATTTACTGACTCTGTGAACCCTACTTCAGTATTTAATTGACATTTCAAAGAAAACTGGCACACTGTCTTAATGTATTACCCAATAGCAATGGAGGCTGCACGTCTTCCATCATTTCACAAAGTGAGATCACATATGATGAGTTCATTATGTCCCCACAGTCAGCATCATTTGGAAACGCTTATGGGTGGCTTGCCAAGGTTTGATCCTAGATGCTTTCCAGAGGACAACCCCTCAAGCATTGCTGCACTTAAAAGTGATTATGAGTCACTTTGTATCATGTGAGAAAATGTTGGGTTTATAGGTTATTTCAGATTTTAATTTGAAGCTTTTAGAACAGTAGATGATTGCTGAAGAAGCAGTTTGTCATTTTTTTTTATGATGATCCGCTTGTCTTCTAAGGATCATGAAGAAAGGGGCTTCCTTATGAATTATTACAATCTTTAATGAATTGTATCATCAAAGTCAAAATAAATAGGCCCTATGCTTTGGCTTGCACCTTAGAAAGAAGCAAACAAGTGCTTCCCACAAAGCAAGTCGACATGTCTGCACCATGGAGTATTGACTGGAGCTTCAAAGCTTCCTTTGAGGTTGTGGTAGTCTCAGAAAAGTGATTTCTGAAGTTTGCTGTTCCAGTTACGCCTTGTCCACACAGCAGCTTTGAAAAAATCTTGAAGATCTTGGAGGTGGGTGTGTCTGAAAGGTTGGGGATTTTTTGCGAGCAACGCAACCAACAACCAATCACATGAATCTCCCGCCCCGACATACAAAGCAATAGCAATGTTAAAACAAAGTAAACTGGATATAAAATCCCCAAACAGGCGAAAACCTACCAGTTTCACCCACTGTCTCTGCCACCTCCCTCCATGCCTGGTTCCTCCGGTTTGTATCCCGGTAAACAGTTCTGGTCATAAAGAACCGGGTGATTTGCTACCGTAATTTCTCGTTTGGAATATGAGGAAATGAACTGGTCTGGCTCTCCCAGCTTGCACGCGGTTTGATTGGCTAGCGTTTGAACTGTCAGATTTGCATAAACGGGATTTGATTGGCTGACGCTTCCAGCTCAGCTTCAAAAGTTAAACATTGCTCAACTTTTGAATCCTGGAAATCCTGGAAATCTTCGCTTTGCTTCCCCACA